CAAGTTATGTGAATCAAAAATGCTTAAATGGGTATTAAACGAGAGAAAGCTTCTTTTCAAAAATACTTTTGAAGAGGATTACCACCTTTATAGAAATACAAATTCAATTTAATTTACAGGTCAAAGAACATATTTTGATATGGGTAACAAACGATAGCGGCTTAAAAAAGTTTTATTTAAAAAATATTTTTTACGAGGGTTTCCACCTGTTTAGAATTCAAACCCAATTTAATTAGCAAGCTAGATTAAATATTTTAGTACTACTGTCAAACCAGAGAGGTCTAATGAAGTTTTATTTCGAAAATATTTTTGTAAAGATAGGTTTGCCACCTGTTCAATTAAATAACAGGTTAAATGAAATATTTTAGCATGACAGTCAAACGAGAGAGGTTTACGTACGCTTTGTTACAAAAATATTTTTGAAAAGGGTTGCCAACTGCGCAAAAATTTAAAATAATTTTATTTAATAAGAGTAGTTAAAACCTCTAAAAAAACAATTAATATGGATATGAAACTGGAGAGATTTAAGAGAGCTTTCTTTTGAAAATATTTTTATAAGGGTTGCCAACTTTTCAGAATTTCAAAAAATCAATTTAATGAACAAGTTAAAAAAAATATGTATTTTTATATGGGTGTCAAACGATAAACTTTATTTCGAAAATATTTTTGGGTTGTTACCGGTTTAAATGAAATATTTTAATATGGATGCCAAACGAGAGAGTTTTAAAAAAGCTTTATTTATAAAATACATTTGAAGACGGTTGCTCCCGCTAAAAACTCCCGTACAACTTTATGTGTGGTTAAATACAGGTGTGAAACGGAAGAGGTAAATAAACAAATTTTCCAAAATATTTTTGAAGCGAATTGCTACCTGATTTTATAATCAAATTTAACAAGCTAATTAGTTAATTGAATTATCATCGTATATTTACAATAATTTTTTTTTTAAAAGCTACATACATATGTAGTACACTCACTTTATCGAACACTCTCATGATTTATTTTTTATTTTTTGCAATGTTTTTGCGGCATAGGCCCCATAGTGCGACGATAACTCGAAGCTGCTGGCGATTTCGTTGTATGGCTCGCGTAACTATAAATATTTCAAAACCCGTCGTTAGGTTAGCAGGATTTGTGGGCAGCTTTGCCACAGCTCCAAGTACCTTTGACAGGTATGTATGCATCGCAATTGAGGTCAGTTAAACGCATTCCAATGGAATTTTTATGTGCAATTATAGTGGAAAACTGTCTCATGCAAATTCAAAAGGCGTAAGCTAAAAAAAGAGGACGGAAAACGAATATAGAAACCAGAAAGACGAAAATAGATAATCAAATTGAATTCGAAGTCGAGCAACGCTTTCACAAAAAAGCGAATACATCAAAGTTGTACAAATTAAAAAAACGACAAGAAAAATGTTAGCTGCTGTAATCATTCGATTTGATGGGTTCACATAAAATGGAGAGCATTTACTTGCAAACACATACATACATTTTTACCGTTAAATGGAACGCACTCGAAATGCAGTCATAAAAGTCAAGTGGCTACCTGACCACTTCAATATCGCAATTGAAAATGGTGCTCTTACCTTTCGCTGCCTTTACTTGTTGGCGCCCACGGATTTTATTGACTCGCTCGCTCTAGCAATGGCGGCGATGCTCTCAACTACCAATACAAAAGTCGTACCAATTCCATAATCATTGAGCGTACGCAGATTAAAAAAAAAAAAAACGTATTATGGCTTACAGAGTTCGTAAAAATAATTCACAAGCATGTACATATGTACATTAGAACGTACCACCTTGCAATCAAAACAAAAGATTCGTAAAAAAAAATTGAAACTGCCTTGCAATTGCATCAACAAAAAAAGTTGCGATTTTTCCGCCGGGTTTACAAAATTTATTATATTTGAAGACGTGCGCCAAAATATTGAGATTTACGTGAGCTGGACCGATTTGAAAATACCTCCAAAAATGAACTTTTTGAAAAAAATCCCCTCAGGTGATGAAACAGATTCAGCTTAAAATATTTATCTGCATAAAAATATTTGAAAATTTTTCCAACGGAATCGTAATAATGAGATTTTTGAAGCTGCTTTTTAACTTTTTTCAAAGATTGATGTACGAAAAACTTGAATAATTGCTATTCTATTCTGATTTAGGATCTCAGTAGTAAGGTATTTTCCCACTATTTTTATTTATGCGCAAAAAAAGCCATTCGTGTCCCAATTTATTTATTTTTTTTTTCAAATCCAACACATCTTAATTCAACTTTGAATGATGTTCGTTCATGCTACCTTTTTCTTTCATCCTTTGAAGGAGTTTATTAGCAAAGAAATAAAATGGTGAGAAAATACCTTTCCAATGATGATACCACAAAAGTCTAAATCGTATAGTTTAGGTTCAGTTATTCAAGTTTTTCTTATACCAATCTTTGAAATGTTAAAACATCGCATTAAAAATCGCATTAAAATTCCGTTGAAATTTTTTTAAATTTATTTTAATATTTTTATGAAAATTTTTAAGCTTAAACCGGTTTGTCATTTCAGGGGATTTTTTTCAAGAGTCTCCAAGAAACTATTTTTATTCATAAAAAAACTCCATTTTTGGAGGTATTTTCAAATCGTTCCAGCTCAAGTAAATCTTAATATTTTTCGGGAATATTTTGGTGGCGTCTTAAAATATAATAGCTTTTATAATTCCAATGGAAACACAGTACCGATTTTTTTTTTTTTTGTATGGAGAGTGATGCAGTCTAATGTACATACCTAAAGCTTACCCGAAAGGTGAATAAAAATTTATTTTGATGATATTTTAGTGTAGCTGGGTGTCAGTAATTAAATTTTACTACCTACTGCTTTTACTATCATTTCAAGGATTATTGATACTCGAATGAGTGACTATTGTTCGCAAAAGTAATTGCAGTTGGCTAAAATTTTATCGAAAGGATCTTATTCGGAACCGAAGCGCTGCAACTTTCATTTCAACATTTCCCGTTGGCTAGAAAACAAAAAACAGTAGTTTGTCCTTTAAAGTTCCATTTACCATCAATTAGTCATTGGAAAATTTATATAGCCCTTAGAGTCATGGTGGATTGGTTAGTCACAGTGGTTTGTCAAGGTTACTGTTACTTGAAAATTTTGATGAATTTCAGTGTACTTGCAGTCAAAAAAAAACTATCCTGGAAGATGCAGAAACAAAAATCAAAATGAAGAAAACACAATTTGCGCTAACTCGATAAAATTCTATAACTCAACAAATTTCGAAAACTATCGATAAAATTCGATAACTGTGCGTTTCCAAGACTCGATAAATTTTAATAACCCAAAATTTTACATATCTCGATACATACCCATAACTCGATAAACTTTGTATAATTCTATAGATTTCGATACCTCGATTAATTTTGATAGCTCCATAAATTTCGAAATCCATTGACAAATTTCAGTAACTCGTTACACTCTGGTAAACTCGATAAACTTCGATAAATCTTATATACACCTAGAAATTTCGATAACTCGATATACTTTGAAAATTCCTTGAAAACTTAGATTCGATAAACCGACTAACTTCGATAACTCTGAACTAAGTTTGATAGCTCCATAAATTTCGAAATCCATCGACAAATTTCAGTAACTCGTTACACTCTGGTAAACTCGATAAACTTCGATAAATCTTATATACACCTAGAAATTTCGATAAGTCGAAATACTTTGAAAATTCCAAAAACTTAGATTCGATAAACCGCATTGATCAGCTTTTGATAGGCTTTGTAAATTTGATTAATGATATTACTTTTGGGTTAGTGAGTTTGATGAATTTGTTATTGTATTTCACCAAGGTTTGGATATGGTACTGTTCCGGTTGACATGGAGCATCCCATATAAAAAAAAAATACATATCGTTACCTTAATATAGAAAGGCGCTAACTCATTTTCTGTTCAAATCCAGTATTGTATAATCGTCTGCCGATAACTTACTAAGCACCTACCGGATTTTAAAAATTTCTGCCACAGCAAAAAAATTAGTTTCATTCTTAAATAAAACAGCCTTTAAAAGAAATTCGCAGCAAAAGGACCTGATTTTCTATGGAGTTCTTTCATCACTCCGCAAAGAAACAACAATTTTAAATAGGGCCTTTCTATACTATTTCTATATGTACATTAGCGTGGGCCGAAAATCCGCTTTTTTAGAATTTTGATTGGCAATAGCAAAAATATAGTTCATTATGCTCTGAAAAATATCTGTGTGAAATATGAAAATTTTTGGTCAATATCCTAGGCTCGCTCAAGTCTATCAAAGTTCAATATGCTCAAAAAATTAAAATTAATAAATTAATTAATTAAAACATTTTTTTACTAAAATTTCATAATCTTCTAAAGTATTAGTCCAAAATAATTTGGTATATGGACCTCTTTTGTAGAGAATTGAATTTGTTAAAAAAAAAAAATTTTTTTAGTACTTCAACTTTGATGGACTTGGGCGAGCCTAGGATATTGACCAAAAATTCTCATATTTCACATAGATATCTTTCAGAGCATAATGAACCATATTTTTGCTATTACCAAACAAAATTCTAAAAAAGCGGATTTTCAGCCCACGCTAATGTACATATGTATGTAGTTTAATGCACGTATATAAAAAAAAGTAGTATCTCTCAATTTAACAGTCAATTGGGGAATAAAACGTAAGTTTTAAATTAAAGACTGTCGTTCATATGTATGTATGTATGTATGTAGTTCCATCAGTTCATTAATTAAATTGCTTTAACATCTTTTTTACTTCATCCTTTCGACCTAATTTGTTATTCTTATTTCTTATGGGAAACTTCAGTTCAGTTTCCTATAAATTTAAAATTCACAAATCATATCCTTAATCATACATATGTACAATGTTTCTGTTTTTGTTATCGTAGCATTTTAGTTTTCCCCTCAACACCCATTTTCCTACAAAACTTTTCGAATTTTAGTATTTACTTACTTTTTTCTTGCACTTTTTCACAGATTACTCATCACTTCTTTTGCAGCGTTTTGGATATTGGTCATCTGCTGCTGCCTTCCAACTATTTTATTTGTGAGCATGTGCTTAGCTCGCATGAGTCACCCTACGGGGGAAGACCTCATATTAAGCAAGTGTGATGCATTACTTATCGGTGTTGGCAAAAAAATAAAAATAAAAATAAAATACTGCAACAACTTTTATATGTGTTCCTTTTTTAACCGACTTCCAAAAAAGGAGGAGGTTATCAGTTCCAAGCGATTTCGATAATTCTTTTTGCATCGGAAAGCGATTTCGATAATTCTTTTTGCATCGGAAAGCGATTTCGATAATTCTTTTTGCATCGGAAAGTTAGTGTTTCAGAGGTGGTCCCATACTAATCTGGTTAAGATTTAAGATACGATCCGATTAGTGGATCATGAGATATATATATATATATATTTTTTTTTATATGAGAGTTGAAGTCGGTTTTTTTTTTGCTAAAAATTACTTGTTGTTTTTGTATTGCGTGGCTGCATTTGGCAAACCGAGCACCAGTGTATCTTTGGTTTCAGTCATTCTAATTCATAATTCCCGACGACATACAATTTTCTTAGAATGTTAACAAGTTTTTGGTCAAACTGCATTATGAAGATTAACTTTTAATTGAATTTTTTTGTATTGTTGTTGTGGTTATGATGATGTTTACTTAGCAAAATTGAATAAAGAATAAGTTTCATGAATTTGTATTCAAATACATATGGGTCAATGCACGTCAAATGTCCCGAGTGCGCTGAGCGGTGCAAAACAAGCTATTTTTCGACTAGCTGGGAAGCAGACAGAAAATGGGAACCAAAAATCGAAAATTTGGATTTCTCTAGATTTTTGTACGAGCTATCCGATGGTGATATGCGTTTTCGAAAATCTTCGCAGTTTCATGGTGAAAATTCGAAACGAAAATTTATTTGTAATTTTTCTCAAATATGGTAATTTTTATACCCAAGCGCACTTGTGCACAAGGGTATTATAACTTTGCTCACATAACGGTTGTTTGTAACAGGCAAAACGAACCGAGATAGATATAGACAATTGTATACATAAATGATCAGAATGAAAAGAGAAATCGATTAAGCGGTGACTGTCTGTCCGTCCGTCCGTCCGTCTGTGCACACGATAACTCGAGTAAAAATTAAGATATCTTAACGAAACTTGGTACGTGCACTTCTTTCGGGCGTAGGACGGGTGGTATTGAAAATGGGCGAAATCGGACAATAACCACGCCTACCTCCCATATAAAGGTAATTTTCAAAAATACGAAAACTGCGATATTTTAGTAACTACTGAAGATTATTCACTCAGAATTGATATTTACAATCATTTTTTGACAAAAAATAAGAATATAAATTTTGGAAAATGGGCGTAGCCGCGCCCACTTATGATTAAATGTGTATATCTTGGTAACCGCTGCCCAATTTCTTCCAAACTTGGCACAGTTGTTGGCCTTGGTACAACATACCAAATGGCCGAAACCTTTTAAAATCGGACAATAACCACGCCCACATCCCATATAACGGTAATTTAGAGAAATACGAAATCTTCGATAAATCAGTAAATATTAAAGCTAATTTATCCAAAATTGATGCTTGCAACAATTCTTTACCAAGAAATACGTTTATGATAAAATATTGGAAAATAGGTGTGGCACCGCCCACTTATGAACACATATATGTATCTCGGTAACCGTTCTACCAATTTGTACCAAACTCGGTGTGGTTATTGTGCTTTCCACATAAAAGCAAAACGTTGAAAATTATTGAAATCGGACTAAAATTACGAACGCTTTTCGAATAACAGTAAATTTCAGAAATGCTTAAATCTTCAATTTTTCGAAATTTAAGGACGCCAATTTACTCAAAATTGATACACCCTGGCTTACCACGTAGCGGTAGCTTTCGGAAAGGTGAAACACATATATTTAATACTTGTGCCGGGTATTTAATGTGCGGCTTCGCCCGAACTTAGACTTTCTTACTTGTTACCTTTGCCTTTGTCCTTTTCTTTATCTATGTACTTACTCACCTTTACTTTCATTCTTGTATTGGTCTTTTTCTAAGTGTTATTTTTTAACCTTTTATTAGCAAGTTTTTATTAAATTAATACCATGTACACACACTCAAGAAGAACTTGTTTCAGCTCCAACCATTTCCGTTGCACCATTTCCGTGTGCAATTTCCGTTGAATTTGCCAATTTACTCTCAACCAACCAACCGCCGCCAAGTTTTGTTACTAGCAAAGCTACAGCACGAACATAAATTCGTGCGAATTGGTCATTTTTTACTAAAAAGTCCAGCAGCAAAAATTTACCTTCGAAGAATTGTGTGTTTATTCAATGAAGAGAGCAACGTAAAATAAGTAACATTAAACATTGTAAATTACGTCGTGTAAATTACGTCGAAACAGTAGTGAAAATAATGCAAAAGTGAAAGAAAGTATGTAAGCAGGAGAAGAAGGTGACAAACCAACTAAAGGACTTGTTGCGAAAAGAATTTAACTATAGAAAGAAAGAGATGTACTTATGGATAATATATGTATATGCGAATGTGCTTACTTATAGGGTGATGCAGATATTTGACAGTAATTATTTTCGATATGTTGATGTACCGCAAAGGATGAAACTATGAGCTGTATGAGCCTTACAACGATATGGACATAGTTCGGCGGATTAGAATACAGCAGTCCCACAGGCTTGGCCATATCAAACGAATGGCAGAATGTTTCAGCTCTGAAGAGAAAGCCTTCTCCCAGACCAGACTTGGCTTCACTTGAAATTGCCAATTGGCGTCACAGAGAAAAACGACTGACGTGCTTTGTTGGATTCGTCCAAAATCGTTTAGGCGGTCACAGACCCAATCAAGCAGAGGAAGGGTAATATTTTTTTTTTT